GCTAAGGCCCCATAGGTCTCAACCGCCAGCCCGAACACCCCCACGAAGTCTGGGCGCCCTTCGTACAGCCCCCTCTTCCCTCTTGCTGCATCCTCAGCTGCCCAGCCGGGGCGCTTCACCGCCCGTGTGTCTCGGCGTTGCAGAACCGGATCTGTCACTGTAACGTCAGTGACGAAGGTCTCGGCCGACTCCCTGTCCGTGATGACCAGGTCCGCTCGCTTAGGGTTGACTATTGGCGAGTAGACCGCGGTCTCATGCATGGTCATGTAGTCGGCCTCTCTGGCCATCCGTAGTGCTGCATACACCAGGCTGTTGTGCGTGTTTGTCCTGTCCCTCCCCTCCGCGCACCGCAGCAGGTGGTTTGGGAGGCTGCGGTCTTCTATCTTCGACCGAGTCTTGCCGCAAGGGCAGTTCTCCGTGACCGGCAGGGTCAACCCCAGCCGGAAGCCGAGGGCGATAGCAAACTGCCCTGGGGAGAAGGTCAGGTCCGCCCGTGTGGGGATTGCATGAAGCCAGTCCCCCGCCCCTGTCCCCTGCAGGGCGATCAACCGTATGACGTGGCCGTTGTCCTCACCCGGCTTGTCAATACACGTGTCCCCAACCAGCTCTGCCGCTCGGTCCAGGTTCACGTGTCTGGACAGCTGCTCTTGCAGGCAGCCCTTCCGCTCCCTCTTCTTGCCAGCCTCCTTCAGTACCTCCCACGCCGCTTCCGGCAATCTGCTCCGCAGGTCTTGTAAGGTTGTTCTTCCTCCACTCCCGCTTCCATCCTCATGCGGCGACAGCAGTGCCGCCACTTGCTGGAGTGGGTGGTAGGGCGTGCTAGAGGCCTTCAGCAGGAGTGTCTGCGCCGCGTTCAGAGAGGCCAAAAACGCAGCTGGCGCCTCCGAGAGCACATCCACCAGTCCCAATCCACCCAGGGCGATCGGCAGTGTCGCTTGCCTCCACACCAGACTCTGCTCGATCTCCTTGGAGGGTGTGTGCAGGTGGGACGCTTTGAGGGCAGTCCATAGGAGCCTCTCGCTCCATTCGCTCCATTCGCGCCGTGGTAGTACGATCTTGGGCTGAAGATTCACCAGCTCCTGTCGAGGTGTTGCCCGCCATAGCTACCTATAACGATGATCACTATAACGCAGCTCTGATACCAGCTTGTTGGTGTAAGGGCCTAATAAACTCAAGCTACTAAGACTTAATCAAACTTAAAACCTCTCCTCGGGGTCACCTCCAAGGGTCCTTGGGTGCCTGGTACAAGACCAGCCCCTATCCTCGGGTCCGAGTATGTAGAGAGAGGAGTCAAGAAAGACTTAGCCAAAATAGCAAGAGTACCTTGAACGTCGCGCAGCGTATCGTGCAGGCCGTCGATCGGATTAAGCTGAGAATTTCCTATATCGAAGCTCGCTCCAAGAGCTTAAAAATGAGCCAAGTTGCCTCGCGAAAAGTTCTGCCATTACGGAGTTATGGCTCGGACAGCGTTTGCCTAGCGTTGGAGTGCTAGCGTACTAGCGTTGACTCGGGTAGCATTCCGCCGTCGCACCGCGTAGAAATGAAATTCCAGGAAGGGAGGAATTCGCTTGAATCAAATTGACTATATCCAGGTACAAACAGAGAAGGAATAAATAGTACTAGCTAGCAAGGACCTTGGGAATCAACCTGGGAACAACCAAGGATGATCCCAAATAATTCCAAGCAACAGAACCAACCTGGCTGGACAAATTAGCAGGTGGTAGGTTGGTAAACAACCTCTGGTTCTGTTTTTCCAACCTGGGAAAACAACAACCAGGTTCAGGTCCTAAAAACAGAACCTGTTTTGTCTTTGCCCAACCAGCCAAATGCTGGTTCCGCTGGTTTCCCCTGGCCCTGTAGCATGCAGATACAGACAAACAACATCCAACCTTCACCAAAATTGTTCCCCTATAGTGTCAGAATGTTATAATTGTCTAGTCTGCAGTGGGGTACTCTGTAGTGAGTACAACCCAAATTAGGGTTTGCTATATGTACTGCCCTGCTTACTAGTGAAGCTCTCTTTCTTGTTCTAAACTTCTGCTCGTAATTCTGACATGGTTTCAGAGCATTTACGCTCCTGGCCTGTGGGCCCACCAACTGCTTCCGCTGCCGTTCTGTTTGTCGCGTGCCCCGTGGTGCGCGACGTGTTATTTTCTTTCCGCCACGCGCTCCGAGCGCGTGGTGACTTATTCTGCCCGCCGCGCGCTCGGTGCGCGTGGCGGTTTAACCGTCCGTCGAGGCGCCCCGGAGGCCCGCGCGCCATCTCCTCCCATCGCCCCGTCGCGGCTCCCTGGGGGCCCGCGCGCGGCCCCCTTCATGTCGCCCGTCGTGGCGCCTCGGGGGCCCGCGCGCCTCCCCCTCCCGTCGCCTCGTCGCGGCACCTTGGGGGCCCGCGCGTCGCCCCCTCCCGTCGCCTCGTCGCGGCGCCTTGGGGGCCCGCGCGCCGCCCCCTCCCGTCGCCTCGTCGCGACGCCTTGGGGGCCCGCGCGCGGCCCCTCCCGTCACCCGTCGAGCCGCCCTCGGGGGCCCGTGCGCGGCCCCTCTCCCGTCACCCGCCGTGGCGCCCTCGGGGGGCCCGCGCCCTGCTCCTTCGTGGCGCCCAGGAGACCCCCCCGCCGCCTCCCTTTCCCTCCGTGAACCGCCCTTGCTGCTTCCCACGCTCCTGCCTGCGTTAGGGTTTGGGGGTGGCAGGCATGGCGGTGAACGGGTAACCTGCAGCTCATCCTCCTCCTCCGTCTCCCAATGCTGCAGCTGCCACTGAGGGGGGTGGGTGTGTGGGAGCCGAGGGTTTAGGGTTTAAGGGGGGTGACGTGGGAGTGGAGCTAGGGGTGCAGCAAGGGGTGTGTGAAAGGGGGGTGGGACAGTTGGGGGAGGTTGAGCGGAGGTTGAGCCGTCGTGTCGCCAGCAGCGCCAGTAGTCCGGAGGCTACAATCTCTGGTAGTCGCCAGTCGCCCGTGGGTCAGTTGCTCCAGCCGCTCAGAGTTAGCCGCAGAGCCAGTTACTCCTGTAGTCCGGGCCTTTGCTTCGGTAGCCACAGAGCCAGCCGCTACCGTGTGTCTGCAGCTTCCGTGGTCGCCTCCCATCTCCTCTCCTCTCACATTCCCTCCTCCTCCTCACTTTCCCTCTGTGAATGCCTCTAGCATTGCTTGTCCTTGTGAACCTGCTCTATGACTGCTTGCTGTGCTGATTATACCCCACTTTGACTATGGGGGTGTGTCAGAATGTTATAATTGTCTAGTCTGTAGTGGGGTACTCTGTAGTGAGTACAACCCAAATTAGGGTTTGCTATATGTACTGCCCTGCTTACTAGTGAAGCTCTCTTTCTTGTTCTAAACGTCTGCTCGTAATTCTGACATATAGTGCCTGCCCTGCTACACTATAGTCAACCAAACAAAACAGTACAATTTCGAGTTGGATAGAACTGAATCTGCGCAATCAATTCAACCGAACCGCAAAGCTTCCATCTTGGGTTCCTTTGCGAGCTCGTCCTTTCTGCTTGCACTGTTCATAGCGCGTACAATGTTGTGCCGAAGCGCACATTGCGCGAGTACCTGCAAATGCATCAAGCAAAAATTGCGAAAGCAAACAAACATACGAACATTCCATTCACACCCAAACGCATTCGCACACGCATACTCGTACAAACAGACGGCAGGATGTCGTGCAATGTGAATTTGCACCCAACAAGTCCCTCTCTCTCTCACTCTCTCTCTCTCTCTCGAACGAGCAAGCGAAACATTCTGGCCAACAAAGTGAAGAATGAAGAGAGAGAGGCCCTGGGAGACCTCTTATAGCTAGGGAACTAGAGGGCAGAGGGCAAAGGGAGAGGGCAGAGGCTAAGTCCCTCTCTCTCTCTCTCTCTCGCTCTCTCTCGAACGAGCAAGTGAAAAATTCTGGCCAACAAAGTGAAGAATGAAGAGAGAGAGGCCCTGGGAGACCTCTTATAGCTAGGGAACTAGAGGGCAGAGGGCAAAGGGAGAGGGCAGAGGCTAAGTCCCTCTCTCTCTCTCTCTCTCTCTCTCTCTCTCTCTCTCTCTCTCTCTCTCTCTCTCTCTCTCTAATGGTCCGTGTATTAATAGAGCAAGAAAGGTACATGCATGCATGTGATAAGACTAGCTAAGATTTCAGCAAACAAACAAAAGCAAACAAATAAACAAACAAACACCGATTATCAAACTACCTATGCCCCCCTCCCTCTCAAACACCCCCTAACCGAACTCTGTGAGGGGCTCTAGCACGGCGAAGCAGTCCCCGAGGGACATCACCGTGTGGGCACCCCCTATGGGCGGGTTCTCTGCAGCTGCAGCCAGGCTTGACTTCATTAGGTACCCAACCGACTGGGCCCTCTGGAGTGCGACGGACCACCTTTGCCGGAACTGATGCAGAAACTTGGCGGCCTGGAAGGAGTGAGGGTCGGCGTTGAAGTGTCGCCGAGCCGCCGAGTCTGCTAACAGCTTCAGGAAGGTAGGGACCTCTGCACAGGGGCAGCCATAGGTTTCAACCTCGGAACTGTCGCAGGCGTTTCTCTACTGCTGCCCATCTGTTTCCAGGAGCTTTCTCCAGGCTCGCCCTGAGTGTCAGCCTCGGTAGAAGTTGCAGAATTCGCCACGCGCCGAGGCAACTCGGGTGCTTTGACAGCCGCAGGAGTGGAATCGTTAAGCAGTGGGAGAAACCCTTTAGGATCTCGGGCGGAAGTTTCCGGACCAGAAAGGGTTGGGCGCTGGCGAGGAGTGGTCCCAGATCCCATTCGTGAACCTTCTGCCATGTGTCCTCGTCTTCCACGATCACGCTAGGACTGCGTTCCTTGCTGGCAGCCACGTTGGGTTGCTGTGGTGCAGATTCCCCCACGTCGGCTGGAGATTCCCTTCTATCCTGTCCATTCCCTCGTCCCCGATCTGTGGTTGGGACGGGCACCCCCCGTTCAGGCTCAAGTGATGCCTCCTCTGATTCCGCTTCCTGTGAGGCTGTATATTCTGACCCTCCCTCCCCTTCTTCTTCATTCATTGGTTCCTCAGCCTGCTCCTCTGGCCTCCCGTGCCTTTCCCGCCAGTTTCCAGATCTGGCCTTCTCCCTCGCCACTGCTCCCGCCAGATCTCGGGGGCCTCTCCCCCCGTTCCGCCCCCTCCCTCGGCCCTCCCCGCCGCTCTTGGCGCAGCGTTTTGCGGCTGCAGGCCTGCCGCCCGTTCGTCGGCCTGGTCCTGGAGCACCCTTTGACGGCTTGTGCTAGTCCGTCGCCTGCGTTCTGCCGTGTCGCCGTGCCTTTCCAGCACATCCTCGTGGTCCGCCCCCACCGCAGTAACAGCCTCCGCCTCTTGTGTCCCTTCCGCCGCACCCTCGTACTCGTTCGATGACGGGCAAGCGACGCCCACACCAGGCGCCGGAGCGTCCGGCGAGTCCTCTTGCTGCTCCCACCCCGCCAGGGGCCCAGGGCGGGCAGGTCCCAGCCCTGCTCCGAGCCGCCGCGGATGTGGTTGCGGCCGGAGTAGGTGGCGGTGTTTCGCAGCCTCCTCCTCCCTCACCGGCCCCCCGCCAGCGGATGTTCCGGTTCTCCCGTGGCCGGGCCCCTCCCCAACTGCGACCTCGCGGGCAGAACTTTCGCCGTCGTCGGCCGCCTCGTCCACAGCGCACACACGGGCCTCAGGCGTACCGCCCGCTTGGTCCGTCAGCTCCGCCCCTGGTAGCGCAGTCCCAGCCCCTGCAGCTTCCGCCACCGATGTCACAGTCTTCGACGTCGCAGCAGCAGCCGTCCTCGGCCTCAGAGCTGGCGCCGCAGCCGTTGGCCCAGTCGTTGGCGTCCGCGCCAATTTCTCAACCACCACCACCGCCGCACCTGGCAACGGAGGGGATCCAAGCGCCGCCGTAGCCGCCGCCGCCCGTGTCCACGCCACTCGAGCCGGTTCCCCTTGCGCCGGCATCCCTTCCCGTGGCTCATTCCCCGCCCCCCGTACAAGACCCTGCTCCACCGTCGCTACCTCCTGAGCTGCGTCCCCGACGACAGCATCCGCTCTTGCCGACCGTCCCGCAGGCAGCCTTCCGGTTCCCCCCTCCCCGTTATCCCTACCCCCGCGCTTGGGATTCGCCTGAGCGTTCCCCATCCGCACCCGATCCCGACCCTGGCTGGACCCCTTACTCCCCGTGGGGTGTGGAACCGGACCTGGACGGGTCTGTGATCCCCAGGCCACCTAGGGTCACAGGCATGGCTGCCTGGCGCCAGATCCGCCCTCTTTCCTCCGTTGAGCGTGGCGTGGCGATGTGGGCTGCGTCCAGGAAACTGTGGAGTAGCTGCTCCCCCCATGCTGACCATTCATCGGCTGGCAGGGCCTCTAGCGGGGTGGTTCTTACGAGGAAGGAGGCACGGCGGCCAACACAGCGTGTGAGCAGCAGTAGGCAGAGCTGGGGGTCCATCTGGGCCAGGAGTGGGAGTGGTTCTGCTGCTGCTGCGAGTCGCTCCCGAATCGTCGCCGCGTAGCCCGCTGCATTGCCGATGTGGCCGCCTAGGACGCGGATCCCATCGGGTGGGGTGCGGATGCCGTGTGGGAGCGTGGTGTGGTTCAACGTAGAGGCTGACCAAGCCTCGCATTTCTCAGGGTTGTGTACGAGGCCGAGCGTGGTGAGGGCGTCGGTCAGGTGAGTGAAGGCCGCTGTGCAATCTGCTGCCTCGCCCAGGAGTGTGATGTCGTCCGCATATGCTAGTATCACCACTCCTGGATGTGCTGCTGCGGTGGCTTCGAGGCAGGGGTGGATGCTCGCCGCGAACAGCAGGGGGCCGAGCGGGTCCCCCTGGCGGACACCACGAGCGCTTAACAGAGGGTCAGCTTCGTACTCGTGGTCTAGGAAGAGGGACGAGGGGCAGCCATACGTGAGGCGGACCAGAGGCACCAGGGATTCCAGGGCGCTGTTTCTGAGGCCGTTACAAACTGCCGCTCTTTCTACCGCGTTGAACGCGTTCGCGAGGTCGATTTGGACAGCTACCGCCCCTGGGTGCTCCTCCAGGAACGTTCTTGTCGTGTGAATTGCAGCCTCTATGCCTCCCGCGATTGCCACACCGAATTGCAGAGGTGCGAGGTGGGCCCGTGCCAACGGAGCGATTAAGAACAATGGTGCTTTGGCGATTAGGCGGAGCAGGCATTCTCCTACGGCTATGGGCCTAGTTCCTCCCTGCGGCTTTGAAAAGGCTAGGAGGCATGAGGACGTGAGGAGTTCCGCAGCTTCCTTGTTCAGCTTCCCTGCTAGTGCCGTGTTCGTGAGTGCGTGGAGGTGTGTGAAGACGTCGGCGTTTCCCAGTGCGGCGTCTCTAAGATGCTCGAAGATAGTACCAGAGGGTCCTGCCCCTACTCCGTTCGGGCACTTGGCGAGCAGACGTATGAAATCGCGGGGGGAAATTGACGGAACGGACTCAGGGGCGAATGCGTGGACCCAGTATGGGATAGCTTGGCGCGCTGTTGGGTGTCTGGCCGCCAGTGCCTCGAGCACTTCAGTAGATGGTGTTGAGACGAGCGTGGCTGTGAGGGATTGGAGCGCTTTGGCCAAGTTGCCTCGTTTGGCTAGGCCCTCCGCTCTGGCTAGGACACCTGTGGTGTCAGGCATGTGGCGCGGCTGGGGTGGGAGAGTGATTGCGTGGACCGCCTCGTCATAGAGGCTCCTCCACTCCCCCTGGCGAAAGCGTACCTGTCTGTCACCCATTCCTCTCCAGTCAGGGCGATTAGCCGATGAAGTGCGCAGAAGAATTCGCGGGAGGAAAATGAGTAACTTCCATCCAGGTGTCGAGTCAGGGTCTTTGGCGATGTGCAGTAACGGTGTCAGGAGGCAGGCCGCGAAGGATTCGCGCATTTTACGCGGTGGGTGTCGGGCGAGCGGGGGTTGTCTGCTGTCGCGAAGGGGACCCGTGTCCCATGTGGCGAGGTCTGCGAAGAGGTCCTGGCGTGTCGCGAGGTCCTCAGCGCTGATGATTGGTAGGCATGGGGTGGAATCTGGCGCACCCCCATTGGCTGCTCCTGGTAAAATCCCTGCATTGGGCGCGGCTTGGTTTGCCCTCGCGGCCCGATTTCGGTTGGGGGATTGAAGTGCAGATGCGGCTCGGGCAATTTGGGGACTGTGTCCCCTCCCTTCGGTTGGGTCGACCTCGTCCTCCCTGGTCGATGGACTCGAAACCCCCTCGTTATCTGGATTAAAAGCTGGGTCACCCGCTGAGTTCTCGTCAGATTCGCCAAGTGCCTCCACGCCCTCTCCGGCTCTCTCCCGCAGGATCCGCTGCGCCGCCCTCGCGTAGCTACTTGTACCATCTTGCGCAGGCGGTTCATCAACTCGCGGGGGTTCAGGCGGCGGTGTGTGTGGCTCTGAAGAACACCCCGAGCTGTTTCCCCTTGGAGCCGCGGGGGGGCTGCGTGGCGCTTGCTGAGGGGCTTGCGGCCCTTGCTGGCGCCCTTGTCGGAAGCGCCCTCCTCGGGAGCTCCCTCGGCGCCTGCCCTCCCTGGGATGGTGTTTGGCTTGCAGGTGCAGCCCGTCATGGAACTCCGGTCGACGCAGCGGCCTCGTCGGCTGAATTGCTCTATGTCATGGCGGAGACGATGCTCGCCGCGCTCGAAGCTGAGGGGGCTGTCTGACTCCAGTAGGGCGTCTTGACCTTGTGTAGTCCGTAGGAATCATGGTGCTTGACTGCTGTAGTTGTCCCCCTTTATAAGCTTGCCACCTTTCTGTTCTTGTCACCCCTCACGCACGGCCGAAGGCCGCGCTTGCGAGCGTCGGCCGCCGAAGGCGGCCGGCGTGAGCGACGATTCTCTGCCACCACACAGAATAATGAGGAATGAAGGGCCTAGAGAGGCCCTTATATAGCTAGGAAAGAGAGGGCAGAGGGCTAAGGGCAGAGGCTAAGTCCTTGGCTCTCTCAAGCAGTCATGTATTGATAGTGTTCAAGAGGTACAAGCAAGGCAGGGAGTGGTTGTAGCTAGTTTGTCTAAGCATGTAGGCAACTAGGTACTGGAAACTAGCAACTAGCAAACAAGCAAGCAAGCCAGCAAAACAAAACCTGCAAGGTATGCCGTGTGTGTGTGCACACTAGTCCCCTAACCGGCCAGCAGCAGCAACTCCTGTCCCTAAAGACCTCCCTCTCCTCCTGTCCTGTAGCTCTCCCCCTGCCTTAGTCCATGCCCTCCCCATCCTCCTCCCTGCAGCTTCCGCTCATCTTCCTTCCCCTAGCCTCTTTTCCCTCTAGCCCCTCTAAGCCGCTCTGGCAGGGGCCTCTCGCTCCTCATACTCGTCCTCTGCCATCTGCCAGAGGTCCCCCAGCCGTGGAGCCCACGGGTCCCCCGCCGCCTGTGGGAATGCTGCTTCTGCTGCGCGGTTGGACTTGGATAGTAGGGAGATGCCTTGGCTTCGCTGCAGCATCACCAACCATCTCTGGCGGTAGTGTGCATTGAGCCGGGCAGCAGTAGTTGTAAGCCGCCCTTTCCTGAACTTGGTCCTTGCCGCGTGGGTGGCTAGCATGCGTAGGAATTGGATTGTGAGGCTTCCTCTGCCGCCCACCCTGGCGGCCTACGTGCTCTCACATCCCTGTTCTGCAACACCGGGTCTGTCACGGTGACATAAGTCACCCAGGTCTCTCCCGATTCCTGGTCCCGGATTGCTAGGTCCGCCCTCTTCCTAAGGACTGGTGGCGGAGAAGGCTGAGGTCTCATGGAAAGTCTTGAAACCGGCCTCATTCGCCATGCGGAGCGCAGCGTATACGAGAGCATTGTGTGTTCGGAATGCATCCCCACCGTCTTGGCAGCGTAGGAGGTGATTCGGCAGACTCTTGTCCAGTATTTTCGAGCCCCGCCGTTTGCATGGGCATACCTCGGCTACTGGCAGTTCCATGCCTAGGCGGAGGCCTAGGGCCAAGGAGAACTGACCAGGGGAGATAGTAAGGTCAGCTCTTGTTGGCACTGCGTGAAGCCAGTCGCCTGCCCCCACCCCTTTCAGATTGATCAGCCTGATCCCATGGCCTCTGTGCCTGCCAGGTTTGTCTACGACGGTGTCGCCGAGAATATCTGCTGCTCGCTGCAAATTGATCTGCTTCGATAGGCCCAGCTGCAAACTGCCCGTGCCCCCCCTGTCTGCTCTGTACTGACTAAGGACTGCCTGTGCTTGGGCCGGTAGACCCTCCTCCAGGGCAGACAGTGGGTTGAAGTCTGGGGGGGGAGGGGACCAGTCGTGGGCCAACAGTGTGATGGCCCTGTGAAGAAGGCAATCAAGGGGAAGGCCGAGATGCTGCAGTAGCGAGTGTGCAGCTGTCACTGATGCGATGTGGGTTGCTGGCGCCTCCGATATAGGGTCGATGATCCCCAGGCCGCCGAGCCGAATGGGTAGGGTCGCCTGGCGCCATAGTAGACTCTGTTCCAGTTCCGACGTCGGGATGTTCATCTTCGTCGCCGTGAGTGCGGAGCGCACCAGTGCCTCGCTCCAACTGCTCCACTCCTCCAAGCCCAGTGCTGTTGTTGGTGTCGTCCGCAGCAGGTAGGAGATGCGGCGGGAGATACTGCGGGAGAGGATCAGCAGGGCCGCTTGAGGGTGGAGCTGGCTGATGAGGTGGAGTGGTGCCGCCGCCTCCTCCAGCGATGCTCTCACTTGGTCGGTGCAGAAGTCCGCATAGGCCACGACTGCGACCTCTGGCATTGTGATCGAGATACTTAAGAGAGCCGGCTGGATCGCCGCCGCGAACAGGAGGGGGCCCATGGGATCTCCTTGCCTAACGCCACGCGAGCAAAGACGTGCATCCGTGAGCAGGCGTGAGGGGCCATCGTAGAGATTGCGGACGAGGGGGAGCAAGGGGCTGAGGTTAGACCATTGAAGTGACCCGAGGAAAGCGCTTCGCTCAACGCTGTTAAAAGCGTTTTCTACGTCTAACTAGAGAGCGAAGCGTGTCTCGTCCTCCCGAAGTAGAGACCGGACGGTGTGAATGATACACTCCGCTCCTCCTAGTACTGCTACGCCAAATTGCACGGGTAAGAATAAGTCCCTAATCTTAGGACCTAAAGTGTGGAGCGCCGCTTTCGCCACGACGCGGAGCATGGCTTCCCCAATCGCTATAGGCCTTACTCCTCCGTTCGGCTTCTCCAGGGCAATTAGGCGTGAAGGCAGCAGCAGCTTTCTCACGTGGTTGGCTTGGAAAGAACTTAGCAGCTGATTGACTACCTTGGCGAAGAGCAGTAGCAGTTCTTCGTTAGCCAAGGCAGGATCTCTCAGGTGTTCGAAACAAGTGCCTGAAGGGCCAGCACCAACGCCGTTCGGGCACTTCGCTAATATTTCGCGGAGCCCATCCAGCGGGACAGCTAGGTCAGAGTCTGTGATTCCGGTAACCCACGCGGGGATTGGACTTTCCGCTGCAGGATGCTTCGCTAGCAGTGCTTCAAGTGTGGCTGGGGTTGCCTCTGCGAGGGGGCTCGTTCGTAGAGCCGACACTGTTTCGAAATGTTGCCCTTTTTCTGTAACCCCTCTGCCCTAGCACAAACTCCTTCCTCATCTTCCTGGTGTCGTACCGGAGCTCCTGTGTCGGGGATGACCCCTGCTTCATCGAAAAGGTCATCCCACTCGCCCCGCTGGAATTTGTGCAGCCGTGCCTCAATTCCTGCCCAACGACTTCCCATGACAGGTTCGGGTGGTGGCCTCAGGGTGAGCCTCGGTAAGAACAGCAGCACCGTCCATCCCCCTGCGCAACTAGGATTTTTGTCCAGGCGAATCAGGGCTGCCAGCATGCACAGACAGTATCTGTCTAGAACCTGCGGTGGCAGTCGGCGGACGAGGAATGTTTGATCGCCTCGTTGCAGTATGTCCACATTCCTCTCCCCCGCCATGAGCCAGATGGCATCGTCGCTTGTCAGGTCGGCCGACGAAGGGACATCAGTGTCCTCCGTGGCTGCTCCTCCCGTTTCCGCTGTAGTGTGTGGGATTTCACCCGCCGCTTCACCTGCCTGTGGTTCTGGGTTGTTCCTCCTGAGTGGGGCCTCTTCGTCATCCAAGGAAATCTCTTCCGAGGCCGCATCTTCCCCAGCCATAAACTCTGGGTCAGCATCAGGGTTGTCAGAAACCTCTGGCTCCCCATTCGTCTGTGGCTGCTCTCTCTCAGGCCTGGCGTGACGTTCCCGCCAGGGACCAATTCTTGCCGGGATCTCAGATCTGGGTGCTGCGTTGCGCCCTCCCCTTCCTCCCCGTAATCCCCCGCGCAGGTTCCCGCGGTTCCCCCGTCCAGCAGTGCCCGCCGTTTCCGCCGTGGCGTTGCCTCCGCGGCCCGCCGGCATCCACGGAGTTCGGCCGCCCCGTGGTGGTCCCCATGTTATCGTTCCCAGCCTAGCCGATCGTCTGGTGCCAGCTGTCGCCGCCGCTGCCACGTTCGCACCTGCCGTTGCCGCTGTTCTCCCAGCCGCCGCTGCCGCCGCCACATTCGCGCCCGCCACTGCTGCCGTTATCCCTGCCGCTGGTGGCGTTCCATTGTTACCGCTCCCCGATCCCTCCGGTGCTGGCGCCTGCGTTGTTGCCGCCTGCGTCGCTGCTTGTGCAGTGGCAGTCCTCGCTGACGCACCGCCTTGAGATGGCGTCGGATGCTCTGGCTCTCGTGGCGACTGCCCTTGCAGCAGCCAGCCCAGGAGGGGTCCCGGGGGTTCAGGTCCCAGCCCTGCTCCGGGCCGCCTCGGTGCTGGCTGGGCGCGGGGTCTCTTCCCGATCTTCCCGCGGGCCGCGGGAGCCGCGACGCCCTTCCCGCGACCCCGTCTACATGGGTGACGAAGGGGGGAACGGGGGGCCTCACCATGGTGCGCGACAGAGGTCGCGCAACGGGCATGCAACGGGGGCAACGACAGGAATGTGCGACGGTCCGCGCGACGGAGCAGGCGACGGGGGCCGCGCCCAGCGTCTTTGAAAATAGTGCACGCTATCTCATAATAGAGGATGCCCACTCTTCACTTATCGTGTTACACTCATATCGAGCACACGACAAAGGGGAGACGGAAAGTCAACAATCGTAAGACAACCGAACCGACTGTTGACTGACCAGGACCAGAGGTTACGCACCGAACTAGGTAACTGCAGGCACCAAAATAGTCACTGCTACTAACCAATACATGTAGTACGGTTGAACAAGGGAATGCACATCTTAGAGTACATGACTAGATAGTGTCAAACTACGTTTGTAGAAATAGATATGCTGCAGTGAGTTGCATGTTAGGGGATACAAAACATTCTCCCCCCTTGACCTAGTCCTATCATCATTTCTCTCATACCTATGTTAGTTACTAAGTTCCTTAGATTCTTACATGGTATCAGCTAGGTCGCTCCTAGGTCCTAGCCTCGTGTCGCCTCGTGTCGCCCCGTTACGCTCCGTATTGCCCTCGTTTCATTCCGTGCTGCCCCGCGCTTCCCGCGCTGCCCTGACTGTAGGACCCGCGCGCACGCGCACAGAAGCACGCACGCGCGGCAGAGCCCAGTGCGCGCGCTCACCAGCACGCGCACGCACGGCAGCAGCCTCGCACGCACGTACGGCCCCTCGCGCACGCACTTACAGCGCCGCGCGCACAGCAGCCGCCACCACGCACGCTGAAACCGCCGCCGCGCGCCGCTGTGCATGTTATCCGCGCTACCGCCCTGTCCCTTACTGCGCCCTGCCCTGCCGCCACGCACGCTGCAGCCGCCGCTGCGAGCGCAACAGCTATAGCCGCCGTGAACGCAACGGCCGCCACAGCGCGCCACTGCAGCCCCTACCCGCGCCCAGCCCTGTCACGTCCTACGCCCTGCCCTGCCACCCGTGCGCGCAGCCTCACGCACGCCGCCGCGCACGAGCAGACGCGCGCAGCAGCAACTGTACGCGCACCCGCAGCTGCCTCCACACTAGGCGCCGTGATCAGCAGCAGCAACTGCTCGTGCCTTCGCCACGCACTGCTGCCCGTGCTCCGTGACAGCCCACCCGTTCCCCACGCCACTAGACAGTTCCTAACCGCTACTGACTGCTCTCCGTTGCGCTAGACCGCACTCAACCGAACTCAACCGCACTCAACCGCGACCACTCTCGACTGCACCCGGCAGCTGCAGTTGCACACGTACCTGCTGTCTCTCCTACATGCCTCCTACCATAGGCATTTCTCACGGCGGCTGGCAGCCGCAGTCACCTCTCCTGGCGAGCCTTACGCTTCTAACCTAATTGTTCCCGGCAGCATGGAGACAAAGTCACTGGCAGAGAAGAGCACGCCCAGCGCTGCACACAGGTGGTGGTGGGGGGAGGAGGACGAGGAACGGCGGGCAGAGAGGCGGTGGGGTGGAGGGGGGAGAAGAGAGAAGAGAGGGGGGTAGGGGAGGACAATCTCCAAGCAGCAAGGGTGGGTTGGTGTGGTAAATAGAAACATTGAGAAGTTGGCATGCGAAGCATCCGATGCCAGTCACTGCGAGACACGCGGCACTGACCAAGATACACGTGGCCTGGGTAAATTGACAGACTCAGGAGAGGGAAGGGGAAGATGCAACCTGTAATGCAGACCGAGCAGCGAGAAATGAGGGGTGGGAAGGGAAGAGAGAGGTGGGGGTTGGGAGGAGGGGAGGGGAGGAAGCACAGATGAGAGGGGAGCATGATGGGGAGACAAGAAGAACGAGCCTTGAAGATTGTTGGCCGGTAGGTGCAAGAGGGGCGTGTAGGGAAAAACACAAGAACACATTCGCGTCGAACCGCAGAATCATCGAACTCGCGCCGCCTCGCAGGAACAGCACCACCGCGCCTGACGCCAGGCCCTGGCGAGCATGGAAGTGGGGCCGGGAGTAGAAGTGGGGGCGACGAGGAAGCAGGGCGGAGACTATTTGATGCTCACGATGTGACGTAACAGGCAAAGGCGCAGAGGGGGCGACGGGACAAAAGGGGCAAAGGGAAGCAGCGGCGACAAGTCACAAGGTGGGTGAATGGAAGCAAGTGGGGTGGGGATGCATTTCTCGCAGGCGCGCGGAGGGGGAAGGAGGGGTCACTGACGAAGAGGATGGCGGTAACGGCGTCGTTGATCCATCACACGCCCTCCAACACGTGACCCACCACGATGCACGCACACAGCAGATTTACGAACAGCGTCTGCGCCGCCACGTCCGTGCCGCCCCCCGCCAGCACGCTGCTGTCCGACGCGGTGGCGGCAGAGCCCGCATGGCTGGACCCTGACAGTGCCCTGGTCGCCGCTAGAGGCGGGGGGGAGGAGGACATGGGGTAGGAGACGTGCCCACGATCGAAGGGAGGAGATGGCGTGCGCGACAGGCGCATGGGGCATGGACGGCCGCGACGACGGGCGTGACGGGGAGCAGCGAGCGAGTAGCAGGCATGGGATGAACGGCTCACCTTCGACTTCTCAGCTGACACGTTTGAAATGTTTTAGGCTGTCTAATAAGCTTAGGCAAGCTACTAGCATGCTAAGCCTAAACATGGTATGGCATGGCGTAGTGCGGTGAATGCAGGGGAAAGGCGCAAACACACGGGGGGCGTGCGGTGGTGCGACTCACCAGGTCGATCACGGAGTCTTTGACGCTGATCTGGATCTCCTCGTACAACTGGACGCAGCACCACGCCACGCCACGCCACGGTGCCACGCACATGCACAGCAATGTTTCACGCGCAATGGACGAGGGGAGAGACAACTGTAGACGGAGGAACGCGGACAGTATGACGACAACTAAATTGCTTTGCGCAAGCAAAGAAGCAAGAGGAAGGCAGCGGGGCGATCTGGTTGTGAGCTAGGCGATGTCGAGCTAGCAGGTAAGTCGCCTGGGATTACGATCAGTGTAAGTCGCGGTAGATATTGTTGTGTGCAGGTGGCAAGAGGCAGGACGTGGCAGCATGTTTGAACGCGAAACATGTTGGCGTTACGCCCTGCAATAAGCGAAACCGGCGAAAACCACGCGTAACGCCCGTGAGGGGAAAATTGCTGTATGAGCGTGAGTCTCAGAGGTACGAGTGTTACTACGATTTTCCTGCGGAGGTTATGTTGCTTACGTGAAGGTGGTAAAAAAAGTTATATGTGGTGGTGCTCTACTCTTCATGCGACTGTTTTGCTGCGGGGTGCTGTGCTGTGCGAGCTGTGGGTTGTCGTATTGGTTGGTCGCACGCAACTACAATTCTGCCAAATTATAATACTAGGTGTGGAGGTGTTCCATGCCTCGGGGGTCGGTTTGGAGTGTGCCTTGACGAAGAAAGGTCTCGCTTCCTTTTTTGCAAACTGCTCGTGACAAACTCGCCCCTCGTTACCCAATCACAGGCGCCTCTGCCCAACCAAGTGTTATACCGTTGTAAATATGAGACCCGGGTTTTAACATGGTATAGAGCCTCGATCAATCCGATAGGCCCACCACCCCGTGCCTATTCCGATCCCGTAGCGCCCCGTCGCGCGTAGCACCCCGTCACCTGTAGCGCCCCGTTGTCCGAAGTGCTCCGTCGCCCGTAGCGCCCGTTTAGGTCGCCTTCCCGTCCCCTCCCCGTCGCCTTCTTGACGCCTCCCCATCGCCTCCCCTCCCCGTCGCCTCCTTGTCGCGTCCCCTCCTCGTCACTTCCCCGTCGCCTCCCCGTCGCGTCCCCTCCGAGTCGCCTTCTTGTCGCCTCCCCGTCGCGTCCCCTCCCCGTCGCGTCCCCTCCCCGTCGCGTCCCCTCCGAGTCACCTTCCTGTTGCCTCCCCGCCACCTCCTGTCGCCTTCCCGTCACGTCCCCCTTCTCGTCGCCTCCCCGTCGCCTCCCTGATGCGTCCCCTCCCCGTTGCCTCCCCGTCCATCTAAAAAAAGTGGGTCTTAAGAATGGCAATTTACAGCCATAATCCCCATGAATATGGCGGGTTTATGGCCTTGGATTGGCCGGTTGTACGCATGTTGCTTCATAGGCGTTTGGGGGCCGTGAATTGGCCGGCTGTATATTGAATCGAACAGCCATTTATGGCCTGTTCTACATTGGTGTACATGGCCATATATGGTTGTGTATTTGAGGACTGTAAATATGCATAAATTGTCTGCCTGTAAATGCAACTTAAGGGCAGGAGGATTAATGGCCCTTAATTTGACGGCTATAAATTTCAGTGTATTGACAGCCTATAGAATGACACAATTGAGCATTTACTGCTGCATTTTATTTACAAAAAAAAAATGTTTGCACATGGTTTTGTTTGCAAATGCCAAACCCTGGCACGGGTTATACACAACAACTTACAACGATCAGAAACAATTGAGAAAAGCGGTTCAATCAACCATCCCATACACAACACCCCCGACATTTTTGAGATGTCGTGTCCCCTCCCCGTCACCTCCCCGTCCCCTCCCTGTCACCTCCCTGTCGCCTCCCCGTCGCCTCCCCATCGCATCCTCTCCACATCGCCTTCCCATCGCCACACTGTCGCCTCCCCTTCCCTCCTCGTCGCCTTCCCATCGCCTCCCCGCCACCTCCCGTCGCCTACCCTTCCCCTACCCGTCCCCTCCCCGTCGCGTCCCCGTCCCATACCCGCCGCCCCACCTGCTGCCCGCCACCCCGCCTGCTACGTGCGCCCCCCCAGCTAGAAGGCCTCGTGGCCCCCAGCTAGAAGGCCCCGTTGCCC